CCTTTTAAAAAGTCCACATAATCTTACAAATAACTGAAAAGACAGCTCTTGTCTTCTTCCCACAGCTGTCACAGCAGCGCAAGTGCTTTGCTGACATTATTCTTGCACTTGTTGGGGGAAATAATGAAACAGGATATGCTCATTGCTTTTATAATTTACTCTTTTCTTGGCTACAGAGTTTGGAAAATATTTTGAGGATGCTGTATCACTTGGCTAATGTAATTAAATGGAAGCCATCAGAGCTGACCCTTTCCCACATTTTAAAGCTGTTAAAAAATATCTTTCTCCTTTGACATCTCCATTTCTAAGGGATTTTTCATGTTGGTGACAATATGGATTGTCATTCTTCTAGGCACCCAGAGACCCAGAATCCTGAGTGGTTTTAGAACTTTCAAGGAGAACCTATTAACTTTTACTCTCTAAATAATAACGCATTCCTTTCTGACCTTCAGGAATCCAGCTTACCCTTCTTCCCAAACACATAAAAAATTCAGCCACAAAACAAATGTCACCTTAGTCACCTCAGTACTGATTTTAGTATGTGTTCAAATCATACAGCTTCATCCTGTCAATAGGCTTAAGAGATATGGTGGGCAAACTCATGCTTGACAAGGTGACCGTCATCTTGAGATTGCATTCAATTGAAAGGAATTTGAATGTTGACTGTGTGACTCCAAAGTGATTAAAAGTGACAAGGACAATAATGGCTTATGTGAAACACTGTCCTGAGGAATATTAATTAGCTGAATACAGAGGCACATGATACGAGAAACTTCTAAGGGAAGGTGTTGCTTTACCTGAGAACCTGAGACTGAACAAGGTAAATCCATCAAGACACACAAAGTTCTGCCTTGTCCTGGCAATCACAGAAGGAACAGAGTGTGTCAGGGCATTAAAGTAGATGCTTCAACTCAGGGGCCAAGATTTGATAGACACCAGACACCAAAGTGAGTTGTAAGTCACAACATTAAAGATGTTTGTAAAAAATACTAAATAATTAATTTCCTAACTCTTGAGCCTCTCAACTATGAAGAAGTGGAGATGAGACTCTCGTACAGAGATTTCCTTTCAGAGTGCCCTGACACACTCTGTTCCTTCTCAGATCTCTCAGCAGAGAGGGACACATTCCCCCCTCATCTCAAGTTTGGTGAGAGACACCTCAACAGAACCATTTAGAGAAATGATATGTATCCCTGATTTACGAGAGCAAGGGCAATAGGAAAGACAAAATGGAGCAGGGGGTCAGAGAGAGAAACAGATATGGAATATATATTATGCCTGAAAAGAAATTTTCATTTATTTTCATAGTGTGGCAATAATAGCAAAAATGTTTCCTGTGGACGACAGGTAGATTATGTGGGAGAACTGACAATTCTACCTGAAAAGACATCATTGAAAGTCTAGGGCACACCAAGAAAGAATAAGGGCTCTGTAGGAAATGTGTGCCACAAAGCAGGGTCTCAGAGGGAAAGCATTCCTGAGAAGAAAACAGAGTGTAGTTATATCTTAGAGGATGTATGGGATGTATGGGGTGGGGTGGGGTGGAGGCAGTTTGGGTGTCTCAGCATTCCCTCGCTTGGGAGGAACAAGAGAAAATTTGACCTGCATCCAGATGAAGAGGTGGCCAGACCTCCTTAATGTGATCACAACCAAGAAGTATATTCTTGGCCCACCTGTCTCAGTCTTCCTCTCATATTTCATCCCCACCAGAGATGGAAATAAAATAAGCCATTATGACTCCTTTCTGGACCCGAGGTTCTTACCTGTAGCTAGGTGCCATGTGAGAAAGGGAAATTTGGTAACAGAACTGAGACATGGTTGTGATGGAAAAATAGTCTTCACATGCTAATACCTAAGGGCTACAAATGATGGGGCCCATAGAAGTTTGTTGTTAATGTTTTGTATTGAGGTTTAAAAACAGTTGTCAACTACATAAGCTTTGAAAGAATAGCAGGGGGAAAATATATCTGAAGTAGCCCTTATTCATCATTCCAAGTCACGAGTGTGGGCTATCAGAATATAGTTTTGAAAACTACTTCTTTCTCATCACTTCCCTGAGATGAATAAGCATTCCTTATCTACTGATGTTAGGCTTGCTCTTGTGACTTAAGGATTTTTTCCCCCACTTGTGTATCTGTGAACACTGAACTGTAAAGTAGCAAAAAACAAAGGATTTGAACAGCATGCAAGGATAAGCATGTGTGTAATTTGTTAATCTGAGGGTTGATTGAAGTTTTGCTGCTTCTAACTTAGACTGATTGAGCGTGTGACCATGGATTTCCTGGTGTTGGCTGGTCTCTCTCAGGCTGTGTCTGTTGTTGATTTTGCATCATCATCTGCTTCAAAGATTTTCCCTGTCTTGCAATGATGAGGGTGGAAACCACACTTTCCAGACTTTTCTTTTTGGTATTGTTCATGTGTAATTCTTTCAAATGAGAGAAACTCATGAGCTACTGAGAAGGCACAAGAAGTGAATCCAATTATACTTAAGCCAGAAACAAGGGTAGGTGTGAGATGCATAGTAGCTTCCCACTGAGCTCCTGAGAGTCATCTGCATTACTACTGCAGATGGAGACATTGTAGGGACATGTTAACGATTCCTGAGATTGCAGGTACTACTCACTAATCTTTGAAGCTAAAATCTTCAGTTCTGGTTTAACTTGCAAGGACAAATTCTCCAACCTCTCTTCTCCAGCTCTTGCATAATTTTATATGCATGCACTTCTGTTCTTCTCTCCTGAAAAAATCTTTACAGAGGCACCCCAAACCTCAAACTTAACCATCATGTGCTTGCATCTGTTTTTGTAGCAATAAAGACAATGATGGTGTTCTAATGGTCCAGGGTGAGTCTGCTAGAGGGTAAATAGCTTTGGATTATGTAGTAATTCAGAGGCCAGTTTTAAGTCTCTCTCTGGTGAACAGGTAATTTGCTTCTATAACTTGCTTTTAGACAATACAGGAGAAGACACCCAAGTTTCCCTTGACAATTGTGGTCTGGAAACTATACATAATCTCTTCCCCTGGGGAGAACATGCCTTATAGCCACAGCTAGATTATAGGAAATGTGTCAGCTGCCTCCCAGTGGTCACTTCATACTTGGGAAGGAGGTCAGGGAATTTGGCAGATAGCCAGTCATCCCTGACACAAAAATACAATAAATATAGACTAAGATACTGTACCTTATAAGTAATCAGAGAAGTAGAAAGTAAAACCATAATAAGGTACCATTTTCTGTTCATCAGAATTGTAAAATTGATCTGTCAATACCAAGTGTTGCTGCAGATAGAACCTCGTGCGCAGGTGATGAAGGTTTCAATCAATATAGCTCACTTTCTTTGGGAAGTTTGAGGTTTATGGAACACTTGAGCAGAAAGTTTCCTTATACTTCTCTGCCACCCTTACCCATTCGCCCCTTCACTGACATCTTGTGTCAGGAGGTGCATTTGTTGTGATTTAACCAATATTGATATCAGCCGAGGTACACAGTCTCCACTGGCGTTCACTCTTTGTGTTGTACAGGTTGTTTTGGTCCTTGACAAATACATAATGGCATGTCTCCATTGTTACAACATCACGTAGAATAGTTTCACTACCCAAAATTCCCCTTTGCTCTATCTGTTTACCAGTAACGGTCCCCCAGGTCATCTCTGCACCTCTCATCATCACTGATCTTATTCTGCCTCTTGATCTGTAGTCCAGACTATGCACCCTGAACTATAGTGGTCATTTCCACAATATTATATAGTTGGAATAGCACAGGATGTAGCCTTTTTAGAATGGTATCTTGGTACAAATATTGGGAAAGAGTTTAGCAGAGACAGCTGAGTTTTACATAAGCATGCCTAAAATCTAGGAATTTTTCTTTTGGGCATATAATTTTTTAAAAAAGATTTATTATTTGTACATACAGAACTGGGGTACAGGCCAGAGGCTCAGGGGAGGTGAGAGGCTTTACCAGAGACAGAGTGGGGAGCAGAACAGGCAGATCTACGAAGTACACTGCTGAGGGGAGCAGCAGGCAGGTCAGGAGAGGTCTGCCACACCATGTGGTCACCTCCGGGGCAGGCAGGAATCGAACTCATGCGGAAGTGGCTTTAGCTTCTCAGTGCTGTGCTTTAACCTGCTGTGCCACCAGGGAGGGACTGGGCATATAATTTATGGACTATCTTTCATATATGTGCTAGATAGAATACAAGAATAGGACAATAGCATTGTTCATAATAGCAAAATTCTGGGGGAAAAAGCTGTAAAAAATGAAACAGGTAAATGTTTTATAGTGCCACAATGACATATTACACAATAGGGATGAATTTTACAAGGACACTAGAGAACAACAACAACAACAAAACCCTAGAGGATTGAGTATTACATTATTCCACTTATGTATAATTCAAAAGCAGGCAAAATTGAAGGATCAATGCAGAAGGGTTGTGATCAGCCTCCCCCCATGACACTCTAAAATGAACAAGAAAACTAAACAGAGGAAACTACACCTAACCTGAATCAGACACTGAAAAAAGAGGGTCATAGTGATCGAATGACAGACGATGTTATATATAATGGAATACTACTCAGCTATAAAAAAGATGAAATCTTGCCATTTGTAATGACATGGATGAAGCCAGAGGGGCTTATGCTAAGCAAAATAAGCCAGAAGGATAAAGACAAATGCCAGATAACTTCACATGTGAAATCTATAATACAAAACGCAGGAAAAAACAAAACCTGCCCTTGAAATCTGACTCCAAAATTAGATTCCCAGCAAATTTTTGGTGCATTGATGGTGGCTCAGTATGATAACATACATTTGTGGGGTTGTGAAATTATATCTCTAAATATACACAAACCAACATTATAGCAATAAGCATGATTTTAAAAAATTAGGAAAAGAGTGCCACAACAAAATTCAGTAAGAAACATCTACTCAGAGAAGATGTGATACGTATGTTACATGTGTAGGATGAAGTAGGTCTTCTGTTCAATAAATGAGGGAAAAATGCTCATCTTGGTGAAAATATTCCTTTAGTGAGGATGTTTCCTAGAGCTCCTTTCATGTCCCGGTTCCTTAGACTGTAGATGAAGGGATTTAGCATGGGGGTGACTAGAGTATACAGGACAGCCACGATCATATCCTTCTCATTGGAGTTACCGGATGAGGGTAAAAAGTACAGACCAATAATTGATCCATAGTACAGAGACACCACAGCAAGGTGGGAGCCACATGTGGACAAGGCTTTGCAGATCCCCTTGGTGGAGGGGGCCTTCAGGATGGTGGCCCCGATGCGCCCATAGGAGACCAGGATGCAGATGAACGGCACAGTAATGACCACCACTCCCACGGTGAGAATGACCAGCTCGTTGACTGTGGTGTCTGAGCTGGACAACTTGATTAAGGCAGCGAGGTCACAGAAGAAGTGGGGGATGACATTGTCTCCACAGAAGGAGAGACGGGTCAGGAGGAGGGTGTGCAAAAGGGCACTGGCAACAGACAAGACCCAGGACATAAACACCAGGAGGAAGCACAGGCTCTGATTCATGATGGTGGTATAGTGCAGGGGGTGACAGATGGCCACGTACCTGTCGTAGGCCATGGAGGTGAGAAGGAAGCTGTCAATATCACCAAAAAATAAGAAGAAATACACCTGGGAAACACACCCAGCATATGAGATGGATTGGCTCTGTGTCTGCATGTTAAAAAGCATCTTTGGGGCTATGACTGATGAGAAGGAGACGTCAGTGAGGGCCAAATGGCTGAGGAAGAAGTACATGGGGGTGTGGAGGCGCGAGTCCAGCCTGATGAGCAGGATGATGAGCAGGTTCCCCAGCAGTGTGGTCAGGTACATGGCCAGAAACAAGGTGTAGAATGAGCTTTGTTTCTCTGGCCTGATGGGGAGCCCCAGGAGGAGGAACTCAGACACACTGCTCTGATTGTCGTTCCTCATGATCTTCTTTGTTGCTAGAGAGGAAATGTGAAATAATTATGATGATCACATAATGTACTTTGGTTTGAACTAATCATGAACTAGTGCATGAAATTTTAAAAATTATTTATTTATGCATACAAGAATGGGGTACCTCTGTGTGGACAGAGGTTCAGGGGGTGAGAAAATTCACCAGAGACAGAGTGGGGAGCAGAACAGGTGGATTGACTGAAATACACTGCTGAGGGGAGCAGTGGGTGGGACAGGAGAGGTCTGCTGCACCATGTGGATCAGCTGCCTGGCTGGGGATCGAAACCATGGTGCAGTGGCTGCCAATAGCCTCATAGTGCAATGCCTTAAACCCTTGCACTACCAGGGGGGCCCTCAGTGCATGAATTTTAACCTTTATTATGTATGCATTTTTGCCCCACTGATGAGTAAATGATGACTTGACATCAGGATATTATGTGCCCATCTAGAAATCAACTCAGTATTTTGGTGTAACTATGAAACAACAGAATGATGATCAGAACCAATCAGGATTAAAAAAAGAAGAGTACAGAGTTCCTGGCAGGACTATATTAGGAAGCTAGGGTATAAGCATAGGTCAGAGCCAGTTACTAGAAAGTCTCGTAGAGACTCCAGATTGGTCTGTCGACCCTTCATGACCTGTGCATTCCTCTCACACATGCTTTAGTTAATGTTCTTTGTCCCAGGATTAGACTGAGATAAGGCAAAGCAAACTCTAGATCACACCAGCTGTCCAGATTTGGAGAAATGCTGGTTAACTCATTAAGGCAAGGGCATTAAAGATGAGAGTCTGTCAATAGATAAAAGATCTAGTGAAATAACTCTTAACTAAGTTATCTATCCCTCCTCCCTCCTTTCTATCCTCCCTACTCCTTTTCACTTTTAGTCTACCATAAGTCTTTCTAAAGGAATTTTTAAGGGATTTGTAAAAAGTGTCCACTTCTCTTTCAGTTTTATACCATATCATTCAGTCTAAGCAGATCACTTTAGTCAGGTTCTTAGAACACCAGGAAATACTTTGGTTTTTCCATTCCTCTCCTGGGTCTGTCAAGGGATAAGCTGTTGTAATGTCTGTCCATCATAGTTACCAAGTAACATTTCTCTTATCGTAATTTCTAGTCTAGGCTTTATGCCAGTAGTTCATAATAAAGGTTTCCTTGTCATTTTCTAACATTTATACTATGCCACTACATTTCACTCTTTGTTCTGCAGGTCACATACTCTTAAACCTGCCCATGTGAACACTACAAAACAGTAAAAACAGAGAACATTGTGGACTCTACCAAAAAAATAGAGCCACTCTATTAAAAATCCTGTCAGCTTTAATATCTAAAATGAATTACACGTCCAGAGTTGTCAGTATTTACCACATTAATTAATTTGTCACAATGAAAGTGCTAATTAGCTGGGAATTGGGCACTTAAGTTGTGGCTGCATTTTTTTATTTCCAAAAATACTTTATTAAGCCTTTAGAAATGGCATGTTTATGTGCACTTTACACATGAGCATATATACCGCAACATTTATATTATAGAATAAATTCTTAGGATGGGGTTGGAGGAGATACATATACAGACATAGAAATGCATGTTTATATACATATACACACACACATAAAATCTTCATAATTTTGATAGATATTGTTAAATTCCAAGACATTAATATTGTGAGGAAGCCTTTTCATATAGATTCTTTAAAATATATCCTGAATATTAAGAGTCTGTAAAGTATACATGTTAAGTTGGCTTTTTAGTAAGAACAATGAAACTTGAAGTCTAGAAAAAGTTTAGGAGCATGGTCAGAAAGTTATGGCATTGAGTAGCAATCTAGGGATCTAGGAGCCAGTTGATGAAACCTCTTCTACTAAAATGGAATGTTTTGATTCTGTTTTCAGAAAATAGAAAATCCATGAAAAGCGTGTAAGTGAATGAATGCAAGCGATGAAGTAGTTTGTTGGCTGTTGGGTGTAGAACAGACTATAGCAAGGAAGATGATCAACAGGAATTTTTATGAGAGGCTATTATAGTAGTTCAGGTACAAAATAATACCTACGTACACCTAAATTATGGCAGCACATAAGAAGATAACTGTGGATTTGTGCTAAAATAGTTCACTGGAAGATGAGACTTTTTTGGGCATTCTTTGAAAATATTAAGGTTCAGCCAAATGTCCGTTACACTGTGGTGTGAGAAGCAGCATAGTCACGCGAAGACATACTGCACACACCCTTGGCAATGCTTATCTGAGAGCCCAGTCACGAAGAGACAAACTTGTCAAACAGGGTGGCGATGGCAAGAAATAGGGGAAAGACACAGGTACTTAAGCTTATCCCAGAAACCAGTCATTTGTAATGTAACGGCATCACATGGATCACACTACTGAATGTCAGTTCTGCACTGACAGTGTCTGTTGGATGACGAACACATACCTATGGCTATCAGGCGTGGGCAGGTTCTTCCATCTCTCTCTTGAAGATAAAGAATGCAGTGAAGAGGTGCAGTTTCTGAGTGTTTTAAAGATGCATTGTAAAGGGGAGACAAGTTAATAGGTCAAGTAAGACATATGACAACACACACATGTTCACAGCTCCTGAGCACTGAGCATCTCCTGAGCAGTGGCTCCTAGTTTTTCAGTTCCTGGAGAGGACCTTCGAGAACAACCCCACCCAGCTCCAAATTAGAGACAAAAAAATAATTGCTCCGTTGCCATCGCTTCCCTTGAGGGGAGAACTTCATGTTGATGCAGCAGAGGAGAATTCACTCCCGGAGGGATTCTATTTTAATCACAGAGTAGGTACTGAAAGCGTCGTGGTTCACACAGCATTTTGCCTTTTACGTTGCCATTGGGGATGATGTGATTCAGGCTCCTAACAGACCAAAGTGGAGGCTGACGGTATTAACTGAGTCTGCTTCTCTGCCCAGGGCTCTTTCAAGAGCTTCAGAAACCCTCAAACATGTACACTCTGTGAAGAATCATGAGAAAACTTATTTATTTTTTATTGTTTTGAATAAAGCTTTATTGACTTACTTTTTGCTTAATTACATAATTTCAGGAATACAGCTTCACACCTCAACACATGCACCGAAGTTTCAGGGCCAGCACCCCTCATCCCTCATGCTAGTCCCTTGCCCCTCGTCACTACCACTCACTGGTAACCACCATATTTTTCTGGGTCTGTGAGCTATTTTCATTATGTCTTGTCTGCCTTTTCATAGTTGTTTATTATATTCCACAAATGAGTGAAGCCATCTGGTAACCTGACTTATTTCACTTAGTAAAATCGCCTCACGATCTATCCATATTGTCCCCAAAGACACTGTTTCATTGTTTTTAATAGGTGAGTGGAATTCCTTTGAGTATATTTACACCAGTTGTGTTTTTGGGCCTTTGGGTTGATTCCATATCTTGGTTTTGTGAATGATGCTGTTATGAACATAAGGGTGCATGAATCTTTTCATGTTAGGGTTTTCAAATTCTTTGGTCAAATGTCTAGAAATGGGGGTGCCAGCACCTCTGCTGGATAACATAGGTTTTCCATTTTAGTTTTTAAGGAATCTTTGTATCTTTTTCCATAATGGCTGCACCAATTTACATCCTTGTCAAAAGTAAATGTGTGTTCTTTCTTCTCCACACCTTTGCCAACACCTATTATTTTCCAGTCTTTTTGACTAACCATTCAAGAGTAAGAGAATTGAAATCACACTCCTGCCTCCACACCCAAGAGAATGGAATATAGTTTCTAACTTGGTCTCCTACCCAAAAGCTATGGAGTAAGTTAGCATCGTCTTGGTGCTTTAGTTTATCAAAATACCAGTGAATAACCATTCAAGCTAGACTTTGTAGGAAACATCTTACAAAATGCACCCCAGACTCATTGCAGTCTTACACAGCTCCATCTTCCCAAGCCAGCTGGAAGATGATTATTATGTGCAGCTTATTTGAAGTGAACATAGGTGACTATTCGGAAGTGTTATAATTTGTTCTTTTTGTGTATTAAAACCAATCTGGACTGGAACTTCTAGTTGAGTGAAGAAGTCTTGTAAGATCTTTAGATTTCAAAAATGGTTTCCAAGTGCTGTAGCTCATGGTTGATAATCTTTTGCCCTGATTATAATGCTATACCTGCCTGTTTTGTTAGAGTTGACAAAGTTGACTTCTTTCTCAAACCATGTACTTCATTATTTCTCTATATATGTGCAGATAAAAATTGGATCCATATTTTTGCAAGATTTATTATTTAACTAGTCAACAGGAGCTAGCCAACAGGCTCATGAAAAAAATGCAGGGAAATGAAAATCAAAATAATGAAATACCACCTCATATCAAAAAGACAAGAAGCATGTGGGGCCTATGGAGGTTTTCTCTGGGGGTACAAGTGGGTGGACACTACTTCATTGTCTCCTGCCTAGTTCCAAATCACTGGTAATCCCAGAAGAAGTTTGTAAACTGCTCTGTAGCCCAGACTAAGAAGCAGAGACTTTTTCTTTTTTAATTTATTTATTTGTGCATAAAGAACTGGGGTACAGGCCAGAGGCTCAGGGGCAGCAAGAGGCTTCACCATATACAGAGTGGGGAGCAGAACATGCACACTGAGGAGGTACACTGCTGAGGGGAGCAGTGGGCGGGTCAGGAGAGGTCTGCCACACCATGTGGTCACCTGGGGGCAGGCAGGAATCAAACTCATGCGGAAGTGGCTTTAGCTTCTCAGTGCTGTGCTTTAACCCGCTGTGCCACCAGGGAGGGCTGCAGAGACTTTTACAAGACACTTTTTTCTCCTCAAGAAATCTTAAGTAATGTTTGAGCATCAGGTTGTTGGTGCTGTAGATCTGAGAACAGACCCAAATCACCCTAGTCCCATCAGACTCTGGTTGAGGGATCCCTAAGTGCTTCAGAACTATGGACAGAGGCAACAGCTTGTTCCCGCTTCTCTAAGATATTCATGAAGCACTGAGTGTCAGAGCAGTGCACTGAGCAGAGCAGACATTACCCTCTTTGTACTTATAGTTTTGATGTTCTAGGGGTGGGGGTTATGGGAGCAGCACAGAGAAGTATGTCAACCTAACCTACACAAAAGCTTACCCACGCTTTCATTTTCTACTAGTTAAACCCACAGATTGTTAGATGAGAATTTCTTTTTTTTTGTTTTGTTTATTTTTACTTCATTTTGTACACTTGAGAATTTCTTTTAATGTTATTCTTTAAAGTGTGATTGATGACACATATATGAACACATACACATAATATATGCACAAACAATACTATATATGAGTATGCTTGAAGTGTTACATCCTTTTTTGTTGGTGTGCTATTTTGGATAATTTAAAAATTTAAAGTATCCAGAAAAATGGATAAAATTACGCCAATTAAAAAAATATTCATGTGATTTAAAGACCTCAGGATTTGAACTCACACATGAATGAAAAAATACCAAATAGAAGTATACAGAAGATGGTTCAATATACATATATATTGTGAAATACCTACCAGATCAAGATTATGAACATATCTGTCATTTTATGTAGGTCATTCAAAGTGAGGTGTGTGGTGAGAATGCTTAAATTTCCTCTTGGTAATTTCTTCTATACAACCTATATTCTTGTTTCCACCTAGACATACTAAGTCCTCAGATCTTATTCTTCTTATAATTGAAAACTTGCAACTTTGACTTACATCACCTCAGTTCTCCGTTCCAGAGGGTCCCACAAGCAATGTTCTAGTCTCAATTTCTTTGAAATCTGTTCTTATAAAGATACCACAGGGCCCTCCCTGGTGACGCAGTGGGTTAAAGCACAGCACTGCAAAGTCAGCTGCAATCACTTCAGTGCGAGTGTGATCCCAGCCTCAGAGGTGACCCACAGGACACCAGCAGACCTCTCATGTCTTGCCTGCTGCTCCCCTCAGCAGTGTGCTTTTGTCGATCTGCCTGTTATGCTCCCCACACTGTCTCCAGTGAATCCTTTCACTGCCCCTGCACCTCTGGCCTGTACCCTAGTTCTGTATGCATAAATAAAGAGAAATATTCTTAAAAATTGTTTAAAAAAAACTTGAAATAACCTGATGAAAGCAGTAACATGAAAATGTTGTAGACAAAGTATACAAATATTTAAAATACAGGCAAAAGTAAATCTGGGTGCTGATAAAGATCATTTAAGTAATAAATTTAGGGTGTATTTCTGAAATAAAATTGTGAACCTATCTGTTAGATATTCTATTCTAACCTATTCTGTCAGATATTTTGTTATTCTTGGAAGGGAAAATGCTTTGATAGAAAAAAAAAAAGATTGTAAGCTATCCAGTAAAAAAAAAAATGAAACTGTGTCTACAAAAATTATGAATGTCTATAGGACAGAGGGACCACAGAAAAAGGAAAAACTTCAGTAAAGATGACTGTGCTGTTATCATTATAAAACCACCCACCCCATGACCAGAAAAAAATTAAACAGAAATGACTAAGCTACATTCAAGCTGCATCAGAAATAAAAGATAAGTACATTAAGATTCACTTTAAAAAAACAATTTCTCAGAAAGGAAATGATGATCCAAAACATGTTTTACAGTAAAACAATGTTCATCTTGGCAAAAATATTACTTTGCTGAGTATTTTTCCTAGAGATCCTTTCATATCTCGGTTCCTCAAACTGTAGATGAAGGGGTTTAGCATGGGGGTGACCAGCGTGTACAGGACAGCCACGATCATATCTTTCTCATTGGAGTTACCGGATGCGGGTAAAAAGTACAGACCAATAATTGGTCCATAGTACAGAGAGACCACCAGGAGGTGGGAGCCACACGTGGACAAGGCTTTGCAGATCCCCTTGATGGAGGGGGCCTTCAGGATGGTGGCCCCGATGCGGCCATAGGAGACTAGGATGCAGATGAACGGCACAGTAATGACCACCACTCCCACGGTGAGAATGACCAGCTCGTTGACTGTGGTGTCTGAGTTGGACAGCTTGAGTAAGGTGGAGAGGTCACAGAAGAAGTGGGGGAGGAGGATGTCTCCACAGAAGGAGATACGGGCCAGGAGGAGGGTATGCAAAAGGGAATTGCTAGAGGACAGGGCCCAGGACACTGCAACTAGCAGGACACACAGGTTCTGACTCATCATGGTGGTGTAATGCAGGGGATGGCAGATGGCCACGTACCTGTCGTAGGCCATGGAGGTGAGAAGGAGACTGTCCAGACACCCCAGCATTAAGAAGAAATACACCTGGGAAACACACCCAGCATATGAGATGGATTGGCTCTGTGTCTGCATGTTAAAAAGCATCTTTGGGGCTGTGACTGATGAGAAGGAGACGTCAGTGAGGGCCAAGTGGCTGAGGAAGAAGTACATGGGGGTGTGGAGGCGCGAGTCCAGCCTGATGAGCAGGATGATGAGCAGGTTCCCCAGCACCGTGGTCAGGTACATGCCCAGGAACAGGGCGAAATAGATCCCCCGCTGCTCTGGAAGGATGGGGAGCCCCAGGAGGAGGAACTCGAACATGCTGCTCTGATTATCCTTCTTCATGGTCTTCTCTTTTGCTGGAGATGAAAAGAGATGGGTATGTGAAAGAACGAAACGTCACTTTGACTATAAATAATTTCATATAGTTTTGAACTAGTCAGTACATGAATTTTAATCCAAATAGTTCATGTTTTCTGTCCTACTAACAGGCAAATGATAGTCTGATATATTAGTGTCCAACAAGAAACCAATATAATCTTTTTCTGGAGAAATCATGAAGTAACTGAATGATGATTAGATCAGGTCAGGATCAAGCAAGAGGAGCCCATGAGTGACAGAAATCTGAAATTTGCAATTTGCAAGTCTAAGTCAGAACCAGTTACTACGAACAGTAGTGGAGGTCCTCAAATTAGTCAGTGGCTTTTCTTAACCTTCCCATTTATCTCACGCTGTCTTGGATAATGCTTTGTTTCCATGAGTGGATGAGATGGGCAACCTCTAGATGACACAGCTGTCTGGATTTGGAGAATTGGAGGCACATCATGTTATTGGTAAAAGCACTCACTAGACTCTGTATCAATAAATGAAAGATATAGTGAAACACCTCGTAAGAAGGCCATCAGTTCTTCCTTTAAGGTAATTCCTTCCCTCTCAAGAGTTTTAGTCTTTCATCAATTATCTTTTTTACAAAAAAGATTTACGGCCCTCCCTGGTGGCTCAATGGGTTAGGACGCAGCACTGCAAGCTGGACACAGGTGCTTCAGTGTGAGTTCAGCCCCTACCCCGGAGGTGACTCACATGGCGTGACAAACCTCTCCTGACCCGCCTGCTGGTCCTCCCAGCAGTGTACTTCATCGATCTGCCTTTCTGCTCCCGACTCTTTCTCTGATGAATCCTCTCACCACGCCTGTACCCCAGTCTCTATGCATAAATAAATCTTTAAAAAAAGATTTACTTTTTTTTTTAATAAGAACTGGGGTATATAAGCCAGAGGTGGTGTGTGTGTGTGTGTGTGTATGAGAGAGAGAGCGGACTCACCAATTCACCAGTGACAGAGTGGGGAGCAAGAACAGGTGGATCTACTGAAATACACAGCTCTGGGCAGCAGCGGGCGGGTCAGGAGAGGGTGGGTCAGGAGAGGTCTGCTGCACCATATGGGTCAGCTCCTTGGCCAGGGATTGAATCCATGCTACAGTGGCTCTGACAGCTTCATAATGCTGAGACTTAACTCCTTGCATCACCAGGGAGGGACCTATCATTAATCTTTCTAAAGGAATATCTGTAGAATGTAAGAAGAAAATCTTTTTCTTGTCCAATGTCCAGCCATGTTATTCAGTCTAAACAGATCACTCTGAGCCAAGTTCTCAGAAAATGAAGGAAATACTTTAGCTTTCCAAGTCCTATTCTGGATCTGTCAGGATATAAGCTCATTGTAACATCTGTCTATCATAGTGACCAAATAACACATCCTTTCAAAGTTTTTTGTCTACCTTTATATTGGTGATTTATAATGAATTTTTCCTTGTAAATTTCTACACTTTTTCTATGCTATTACTTCATTTCTGTCTCTTTCTTCTGCAGGTCACATGCAATATTAAGATATATTCAATCTCTATGGTGATGGCACATGGGTGATTTGGTGATGGGAAGCCCAAGGGAATTGCAACTAAGATGGAAAAGTGCACAAAAATATGTAAAAATAAACTAATATAATAATAAAAAAAGATATTCAATCTACAGGTGTACCCCATTGGGATGAGAAAATGTCTCACAATAGGGCCATTCATACTGAGCCTTACTAGAGATTACATTATGTACTAGTTTCCCCAATTTCACTAATTTTATCTGTACAATTCCCACACATTAAAAATCCTGTTATCGATTAATTGAGATGTGTTACACACTCAGAGTTGTTAGTAATTACCTTGTTTATAGTCATCAATCACTCACAGTGATAGGGCTAACTAGCTGTGTGATGGAGATTTTGGTTGTGTCTAATAACTTTTATTTTAATCTTTATTTTACATTTTAAAAGGACAGGTTTATAGAAAAAAAAAGAAAAAGAGAGGCACTGCATAGTCAAGGCAGGCAGGAGATTTACCCTAATTACTTTTATTTCCAATAATATCTTTTATTAGTAATATGCCATTTCCAACATTTGCACAAACATTTGCATATCTATTATCACCTATATTCCAAAATACCCCTAAAAATAGGATTGATTCTTAGAAATGACATTAAAGATTATATCCATTCACAATTTTGATTGTCATTAAGTTTTCAAGAAGTTAATGTGGTGAGAGCCTGTTTCTACAGATCCTTTAAAAATGCTTCTTGAATGATAAAAGTCTGTCGTGTGTATCCATGCTTAGCATGGGCACTCAGAAAAGGACTATTATGCTTGAGGAAAAATAGAGAACACTGAAGAGCATGGTCAGCATGGGGAATTTTCCAGGAGCTGGATCATGTACTTAAGGTCTTTTCTGCTATTATGGCTAATTTCAGCCATCAGGTAAGGAAACATGTCCATGAAGAGGATAAAGCAAAGGTGTGGATGAAAACTTTTGTTTTGGCCATTTGGGTAAAGAATACAGAATACAAAAGCAAGAATGTCAGCAAGATTCAAATTAGAGGCTGTTGCAGTAGCTTGAATACAAACTAATACCTGATTACCACGGTCATGACAGCAGAGATGAAGATAATTATAGACTTGGGATAAATCTGGTGGAAAACCCAAGTTGTTATGGGTGTTGAAAAATAAGCAAAAAAAAAAAAAAAATCCACAGCTTCTCAAAAATCGATGGTTCAGCTGTGATGAAAATTACATGCTCAAATACAAGTACCATAATGGACTGGACACACACACACAACCACACTGAATATAAGTTCTATTTTTCTGACAGTGTCTCTTGGGTGATGAGAACATACCTTCAACTACATGACCTGGGCAGGTTCTTCCATTTCTCTCTACAAGGCATAGATACAGTGAAGCAAGTGAAGTCTCTAAGGGTTTCAAAGATGCATTGTCACAAGAAGTGCTATCAGCTCAGAGCTAATGGGAGATATAATTTAACACATACTTGTTTGCAACTCCTGAGCACTGAACATCTCCTGAGCAGTGGCTTCTAGCTTTTTAGTTCCTGGAGAGGACCCTCGAGGACAACCCAACCCAGCTCCAAATTAGAGACAAACAAAATAATTGCGTCAATGCCTTTGCTTCCCTTGAGGGGAGAGCTGTTTGCTGATAGCAGCAGAGAGAGTTCACCCCTGGAGTAATTCTATCTTAATCACAAAGCAGGTACTAAAAATGTGGTGGTGCACACAGCATTTTGCCCTTTCCCTTGCCATTGAGGATGATGACAGAGTCCTTGACAGACTAATATGGAGGCTGATTTTATAAACTGGAGGCTGGTCCAGCCCTCCCCATGCCATTTCAAGAGCAGCAGAAACACTCATATTCTTCCAACAAAAAGAGAGAGTTTGTATCCCATCTCAACCTGTGGACCTGGGAGAAAGGAATCGTTTCTCTAAATGGTGTTCTCCTGCCCAGAAGCTGTGGAATCAGCATTGTCTTGCTGCAAGTCTATTAAAATAGTGATGAATAGCCATTTAAAGATAACTATTTTGGCACTCAATTCCTTACCAAATTCATTCAGATCTATTGCAATCATGTCCAGTTCCATTTCTTCCAAGAGGGTAGAATATGAAAGTAGTGTACTTATAATTTGAAGTGAAGATATGTGAGCAATCACAAGTGTTATTAATTGGTTCTGTTTTGTGTCCTGACTTTATGGAGTGTCCTCCATCCCTGGAGTCTGTGTCACTGGGCCCAGATAAGCCTTTTCCCTTTATTCTGGGCAGTTTTACCAGGCTGCCTCTTCTCTGGGGGCTGCAGAGGTGAGTCCACGTGTAGGCACGCCATGCTTTATGGAGTGCTCCCTGTTGGCAGCACAGGACCAGCGTGCCAGAGCATGTCCCAACTTACCCCTAAGTCTAGTGCAGGATGGTGGAGGACTAGTAACAGATCAGCTGTGTGGGGGGTGGTGTGTGTGATATGTACATTATAGACATAAAAATCTGCACCCCTGAAACATATACAGTGTGGGAAATCAATGTTATTTTGAAAGGGTAATTTTAAAGATAAAATAAAAGCTACCCTCTGGGAGACCCTGGTGGAGTGTGGTAGAGAGACCGTTAAGAAGAGGTTAAAGTAGTTCTTATATATGTGTTTATAGAAGCTTGCCCTCGGGCCAAGGCTTGAGATAAACTAATAGGCCTCTTTCCTTTCTCCTATAACTGTATGTGGATGCTTTGACCTATACCACCCCATTTCTTCCTCCCCCAGACCTTGGCAATCACCATTCTGCTGTTTCTACAAAATCAGCTTTTTTTTTTTT